TCCGCAAGGAGAAGGGCGGGATATAAATTCGAATAATAAATAAATAAATAAATAAATCACGTGATCACCTTTTGCAACCTCCTTTCAAGCAAAGTCAATGGGGAAGCCAGTTTCACTTAATGACCGTATTACTAAATAAACGACTACAGTGATTCCCTGTAGTAAGGTCGTAAAATGGGGCAAAACTCGCTTAACAAATGTCTCACTTAACAATGGAAATTTTGGGCTCTATTGTGGTCGTAAGTCGAGGACTACCTGTAGTGGAAAAAGCTATCCAAGATTGAATAAAACCTTGAATAATTGGTGCTCAATAGAAGTATTTATATTGCTGTTTGTTGAATTAACCAGCTATAAGAATAGCACCACTCACTGGCTTTTTTTATTGCTTAACAATTTAATAATGGCACACTTCCCCCCCCCCCCCAAGCTGGGTATTATTGCACAGAGATGCTCTGCCTCCCCCCCACCCCCCATCTGTGATGATATTGGGCAACATTGGCTCTTTGGTGCAACATTACTTTGCACCTGCAGCTGAATTATACCAGTTTTACAGATTTGGATTAATCCCAGGCAGACTGTTATTGCAAAGTGCTCTTATACTGTATTTTAAGCACTGTGTTTTAATATTTGCAGGATGCCCTGATGTCTGATGAGATGCTGCAAGCTTTGGGCGAACTGTTGCTTACCTGGAGAACAGACCCAGTAATTGTTGGTCAAATGGCTTGCCTCATCAAAAATCTCAGCCTTTCTAAAAACATACAGGCAAGTAGTTTTTCATAATTTTGCATATTGGTCCAAAGATTCAGTTCACAATTCAGCCACCTGGGTGATATTATATGAAAATGTTAGGCCTTTGCTGAATTCTCAACAGATATTTCTGATAGCGTACGTGGAATTGGTACGTTATTATTCATTCAAACTGTATTTTTTTTAATTGAACATTTTCGAGATGTTATTTTTAAGACTCACTTCTTTCAGAATTTATAACTAAAAGACACACCTGTTCCACTGTAAGGAAATACTGTGACCATTTTATATACTGTTCTCCACCATATCTAGAAATTGTTTATTTATTCTCAACCTATCTAGAAAACAAATCTGTGATAATAACATGCTTGAACAAAAAGAATTTTTGGAGTTACCCAATGCCTAAAAGATTATAGATTCAATGCTCTGGACATTACTTTCCAAAGGCAGAGTATTGACAAGAGGTTTACCTCTAGTTCCCATCTCTGCTCCTCTAACATCCATTTAATTGAATTGATTTATATAGGAAAAATACCCCCCCTATATTGGCCTTAATATTCTTAAGATATTAAGATGGCCAAAGCCATCACTTTAAAATGCACCTAGAATGATACTAGAAATTGATTTAAAATTCAGAATAAAATACTTATTTCTTATTCTTGCTGCTGTAGTTTGAATGAACTAATTAGACTATATACTGTATTATGATCACCCTGTATTGATCTCAGATTTGACTACTGCTATCACTGTGGAATGGATTTCTGTAATGGACATTATAGCAACCACTGGAAAATCTATAGCAATGGATTTTACACATGCTAAATTTCCTGGAGAGCCCACTGTGTAGAACAGGGGTATCAAACTGCCAGCCCGTGGGCCGGATGCATCATCCGGAAGCCGCACCCACCCCGTTGCTGGCAATGGCAAAACTGTCCCGATATGTTGCATGACGTCGCGAGTTTGACATGTCTGTAGAGAATTATTAAAGCTAAACTGGTCCAATCAATTTTATTTGAAAATCCTTATGATACTTTAAAAAAAGTAGTTTTATAGTGAAAAACGGCAGAGTATCAGAGTGCTAAATAAATTGTGCAATGTAATAGTTCTTACAATATTTAAACAACATGTATAGAAGGAAAGTTTACATTATAAAACAATGCACTGACCTGCATGCTTTCTACTCATGTTTATCTCTTCACCTATTTTTATAAAATGTTGTAGATTTCCTCAAATCTGCTTTCTGAAGTTCATGAGTACCAAATGCAAAATGGGCCTAAAAATATTGGAGAGCTCGTATTTGGAATGAATAAAAGAATTTAGAGGCAATTTATGCCATATATGTTTTAAGAAAGAAAACAATGCAACCGCAGACGGTTATTGCAGACATATGGATTTCTTGTATGATATTCTCTATCCTCCATTCTGCGTCCTTCTGCCAGATTCTAAAATAACTTCAATGTTGATTGGGGCAGAGGCAAAGTTTAGCTTAGTTGATTTTTGAATGGATCTGATATATGCCATAAAACCGCCGTGATGCTAATTTTTATAGCTTGAAAGAGGTTTACAAGACTGAAATAGTATCTTCTCTGTATGATTTACAGAAAATCCTAGAAAGTCCATGCATCAAAGGCCTTCTTCAAGCTATCCACAGTGCCCATGTACTAGACGATTCCCTTTTCTATGTGATATCTTGTCTTGCTGAACTGGTGAAGCATGGTAAGGAGACTTTTTTTTAATAATATTTTATTAATTTTCCAATTTTCCATTTAAGTATTTAAAAAGCAACGTGGTGGCTGGGTTAATCAATAGTTTGATAACATATAAACATCTTTATTATAAATCTCAAATAACAACATCAAATATTTCCTCTCTTTTTCCCTTAACATCTACTGTCTCGTATTTAAGCTAATACAGTTCTTATTATATCAACTCAGTAAAAACATCATTATTACCTTTATCAATAAATTTTTAGCTTATACATATCTTAATTACTTTTTACATTCAAACTTCATAAACAATCCATATCCTGTTATTAATTTTCTCCCAATTTTTAGTTTCCCATCAATATTCCAATTTAACATTTGATATTTATAATTTTCAGGCTTTAGGTAACCAAAATTTCCCTTATCTCAACTCATAACAGAATAATATTCAAAATACACATTTTATTTATTTGAATATAGTCTTGTTCTATTTCCTAAAAGTTATCTATTTCCCACCATATTAAATCAGCTACTTAATAATACAATATCCCCTTTAATGAATATATAAATTGTCTGGGTTAATCAATAAATCAAACATATTCATAATAATTAATTTTTTTTCTTTTATGTCTAATTTTTAAATATTAAAGAGATAAAATCCTTATTTTCAACTAATTTCCAAATATTTTAAAACTAATGACCAAAATTCCCCTTATCTCAACTTCTCCCTTTAACTCTCTAATTAATAATATGAAATCCCCTCTAATAAATCAAAACCCCAATTTTCTTCAGCCTTATTCTGGCTTTCTTCCTTTGCCAGCTAGCCTTCCATATCAGTGCTTTCAGATCGTCAAATAGATCTCCCTCTATTATTATATATGTTATTTGAAATAAGGGAGACCATTTAGTTGCCATTTTTTTGGGAAGGACTAGCCCATTTGTATTCATTAAATTGTCTCCCTATTATTCCAATTCCCCATGATTGCCCTGATATGTTTATCTTCCATTCAATCTGTTCTTCTTCTTTCTCAAATTTCTTCTGATTTATATAGAAAGTCTTTCCCATTTTTAGTGTTGTCACTCCCTTTTCTGGATTTTCCATTAACTGTATTTGTTGGTCAATTGAGTCCTCTGTCTTAATATTTGATTGTTCCACTTCTTCTGTTATCTTCTGCGTTGTTAGTTCTTTGGTTGTAGTCAAAGTTTGGGTTTGTGTATCTAAGCTGGCATCTTGTTCTTTTATGTTAGGTCTTATTTTATCACAAGCTGAAAGAATGGTTTCATGTATTGCTTTCAACATGGAAAGGATCTTTTCCTGGTCATCATCCATATTCTTTTAATAATGTGTTAAGTTGAGGACTTTAAAATCAGATGTTAAAAATAATTTTATAACTAGGTATGGGACCTCTCTTTCACGTGTTTATAGATAGTCTTTATCAGACATGTCAAACTTGCGACGTCATGTGACGTTGCGCAACGTATCGGAGCTTTTTCGCCATTGCCGGCAATGGGGTGAGCGTGGCTTCCCGATCATGCGTCCGGCTCACAGGCCAGCAGTTTGACACCCCTGATCTTTATAGCAGAAGTCGTTTGTCAAGCAAGATTTTATAGTCCAAGGTATTTCATCATCTCATATAGTAACCAATGTTCCTCAAAAAAAGAGATAGGAAGGGAATTCCCCACATATAACTCTGAAAGTCAGTAAAGGTTTACATTCATAGTTCAAGTAGGCCAGCTATGCCACCCAGATGTTCTCTTTACAGCCGAGTTTCTCACAGGTGGTACCAAGGTCAAAAGAGTCTTATCTAAAGTCTGGGCTTTGAGCCAAGTCTCTTTTAGGAAATAACAAGTTGTAATGCCATACGTCGCCACAAGATGTCACCGATGCCGTTTAAAGTTTTTTAAATCCAAAATTTTTATAATCCTTTTTCCAATTGTATTTCTTTTTTGTAGATAAAAACAAAAGTCTCCAATAAAATAAGAAAATTTTTGGTCCCCAAGTTTCAGGAACATATAAATCCAATTAGGTTAAAGTTGTTCTTTTAGTGCTTTAATTCCCCTGGGTAGTCAGTCGCCGCTATTCTTAGAGGGTGGGATAGAAATTCCCTTCCCTCTCTCCTCACAGGGGGAAAGATACTTTGGGCAGCTTTTATAGGAAAAGAAAATACTTAGGATAAAGAGAAGATTGGATCTCACCCAGTTTCATCTGCATTGCTTTAGAAGTGCTTGGTGATGAGTTTGACTTCGGCTGTCTGCAGCCTAGTGACAAGCCATATTACTATGGCTGGTCTTTCCTCTGCCGGTTTGGAGGGCTGCCCTGGATAGAACAGAAGGGCTGCTGCCCTCCCGCGATCAAGTGGGGGTCCCATCCTTGGTCGTCGCCCCTACAGGGCGACTTTCGATGCTTTCCAGGGTCCCCCAGTGGAATGAAACCGAATGCGGAAGACGGAGCTTACCTTCCACCATCCACGGCGGCCGCGATAGCAAACCGGAAATCTCAAGGAGACTTTAATTCTGTTGCATAGATGCGTAAGCCTTTTTTCTGGCATTGAACATTGCTATTGATGTACAGTAAGTTTAGATCTCGTACGTAATACATATGATAGTGGTTTTATTGGAAACCTTTGAGACGCCAAAATATTTGGGGTAGAAATATAAATAGAATTATATTTAAATTTAATTTAAATAGGAGAGCCAGCTTGGTATAGTGATTAAGGCACCAGGCTAAAAACTGGCAGACTGTGAGACCTACTCCCCACCTCAGGCACAAAGCTAACTGGGTGACCATGGGCCAGTCACTCTCTTTCAACCCTAGGAAAGAGGCAACAGCAAACCACTTCTGAAATCTTGCCAAGAGATCTGCAGAGATTATTCCAGGCAGTTGCCTGGAATCAGCAATGACTTGGAGGAATTAATAAATAAAGCAAACATAATTTAAATAGATTTTCATCTCTACATACAGAAATCAATTTTAATCTCAGCAAACTCAGATTTCAATCACTAACAAAAATATTTAGATTACCAAAAATTTCTAAAGTACTTTTTGGTTTTAAAAGGAAAAGTGTAATATTTGCTTGGATGCTCTTTTTTTCCCTTTAAATATCTTTTCTCAATGATTTATCTCACAAAATTTCCTTCTTTTTTAAACTCACTTCAGCTTATAAAATATACATATATTTGGTGGGAGTCGGCAACACTTTGAAGAGAATGTAAAAAGTACAGGAAGTCCTTGACTTACAACAGTTCATTTAGTGACCGTTCAAAGTTACAACGGCACTGGAAAAAGTGACTTATGACCATTTTTCACAGTTACGATCTTTCCAGTATCCCCATGGTCACGTGATCAAAAGTCAGATGTTTGGCAGCTGGTTCATATTTATGACCGTTGCTGTGTGCCAAGGTCATGTGATCCCCTTTTGTGACCTTCTGACAAGCAAAGTCAATGGGGAAGCCAGATTCACTTAACAACCGGGTTACTAACTTATCAACTGCAGTGATTCATTCAACAACTGAGGCAAGAAAGGTCGTAAAATGGGGCAAAACTCACTTAACAAATGTCTGACTTAATTTTGGGCTGAATTGTGGTTGTAAGTCAAGGGCTACCTGTACTGGACAAATCATAAAACACTTTGGGACTGAAATTTCCATCGCTAAGCAATGTAGCCCTTAAAGCATGACAGGATATGACCGTACCACTTAGCAATGGGAATCCTGGGACTCCCCACTGTGGTCATGCAAAGATCACTGGATGTTATGTGACCCCAGGTGGCTCACAAACAGGTGTAATTGCAGAGCAACTTGCAGCTTTATCTGCTGACTTCCCTATTGACTTTGCTTAGGACAGGGGTGGGGAACCTTGGCTCTTTTATGACTTGTGGACTTCAACTCCCAGATTTCCTGAGCCAGTATGGAGTCCTAAGTCCACAAGTCATAAAAGAGCCAAGGTTCCCCAACCCTGTCTTATGAGAAGCTGGTAGGAAAGGTTGCAAATGGTGCTTCTGTGACCACCATAAGTGCAAGCCAAGTGTCCAGAGTGTGATCACATAACCACGGAGGTATTGGGATGGCCGGAACTTTGAGGACCGATCATAAATACCACTCGTTCAGTACTGTCGTAACATCAAACAGTCATTAATGAGTGGCCATTATACAAAGACTATCTGTAAGATCCACCCATTGGTCCACCCGTTTAGTATTCTCTACAGTCAAGTTAGCATCCTTGGACATGAGCTTAATCCACCATGGGCAAATTCCATCAAGTAATTCCTCTGTCAAATCATAGGAAATATTCTGCCAAATTTTGAATTAGTCAGATGCCACCTTGACTACTGTGGCTAGTTCTGGGAACCACATTTTGAGAGAGAGATTAGTCACCTTGTTGCCCGGAAAGGGCAACAAGGTGACTAAGTCTTATGAGGCAACTTGGTATGGTCCCTTTAGAGAAGAGATGCCTGAGGGAAGCGTAATAGCCTTTCTTACAATAAGTACATGAATGGATGTAGTCCAAGATCTATTCTTTATCACTCCAGAGTGTGAGACATGGAATAATGTTCCCAATTTCCTGTTCCTAATAAAAGTTTCCTCATGATAAGACCAATTGAACAATGATACCAGTTACTGAGGGGGGATGCCCTCAGTAACCCCCCTTTGCTGAATGTGTATAAGGAAAGGCTATGCATCCTTCCGTTCAGGATGTTTTAATTTCTCCACCGATTGTGATTTGAGAGGCCTACCGAGTATTTGACTCCGTGATTCAATATATTTACTTCAAATCTTCTACAGTCTTTCTCTGTTCTGTTGGGGGGGGGGTCTGTTCATTTGTCTATTAATTTCTTATTACATCTTTCTTTCTACTATTAGAAGGAGCCACAGTGCATATTGTAGCATTGATGGATGAACCAGGGATAAATCATTTGGTGAAATTAGCTAACCAGGTGGAACAAACCGAGCTTTCGTTCCAAGCTGCCTTTATGATCAAACACTTCGTAAGGCATGGTATGTATCAACAGGGAGTCTGATATTTATATTTTCAGCCTAATGATCAGCCTAATGATGACAAGTATTGGGTTAAAAAAAAAGAGGACAACAGCTTGAGCCTTGAAGTGCAAATCCTTTTATTTATATTTAGATAGTTTTAAATCATTCTCAGAGCATAATGGGATTATGAAAGACTTATTAAATGAATGGATTACAGCTGGATGATCGTCTATTTTCTTCTGATATACTAATAATGTAAATATAATTGACTACAGGCAGTTATTTTGTGGCTGACCACACTTGGCATCCTTGCCTTGGGCCCTTATTCTTCTAATTTAAATATGAAAATTTGTTTGAGAGAGTGAAGCAAATGGTTCCAACACAGCAATTAACAAACATTTTGCACCATAATAGAATCTTCCATAAGGAAACAAATCCTGTTAAATATGCGATCACTGCTCAAACATTAATAGATTTACTGCTGCAACTTGAAGTGATATTTAATTTGAAAAATCATTGTGGCATGAAACTTCTTTAAACCCCCTCTCTTAAAATAATGCATTTATTATTACACATACTATTACACGTACTAATTGTATCTAGAAGACAGTTACTACACAATTATGTAGTATTATCGCTGTTCTTTAATTTCCAAGTAGATGAAGCTCTTTAGGACATTTAGCACTTGTATTTTTATTTTACAAAATAAAATTTAAAATGAATTAGCAGAGCTCTGCTTGCTGTCATATATGACTTTATAGAAAACTACATTTATAAATTTTCAATGTTAAAATACTCTTAGCTTAACAAATTAGTAACCAGAAAAGCAAGCAGGGGCAGTCACCATAAGCAGAAGGACATCGTTATTTTGATTTAATAGTGCAGTGTAATTAATGGATTCTGTTCTGTATTTTTTTCCTGTTCTTCATATCAATTGCATAGAAGAGGTAGTGACTCTGTTAAAAACTCACATGAACCAGGTTCAGCAATATCTGATGAAGTATCTGATTCACCGGGAGATTCGTTTTCAGCATTTAGGCATAACCACTCTCTGCGCATTACAGAAAGGTATGGACTACTATGATCTAAAAAATCTCTATAAATCTTTCAGATAAAATAATGGTTCAAATTAAACCCCAGGAGTTTTATGCAGTGTCTAGCATAATAACTAGGATCACCGGAATTTACCAGGATTTGAGTCCTGACTGCTTCTAGTAATGTACAGTAAACAAACTCCAGCTTTATAAAGTTCTGATTAAAAGTTAATCTCTTTTCACTGATATTTTCATCAGACTTGTATAGAAGTTCATTTTCATTGTCACACATTTTATGCTTCTAAAAATTATTTTTTAGAAAAGGAGCATCAATAATCTCATAATTCTAATTCCCTGAATTTTTTTCCAACTATTTTTATTAGCAGCAGTAAAGGACTCAAGATGTACCCTTGTAGGGTATTGGTAGGGGAAGACCCAAGAGAGTGAAACCAAGCCAAATAGACAGACCAAAAGTGCAACGTATAAGAGGTCCAGCTAGAAGATGAAATTCAGAGTTATTTTTGTCAGAAGGTCCAAAGGCAAGCTTGGATCACCATAAGAGATGAATTTGGTTCATCCTTATAAGTAGAAGCCCTGTGGTTGAGCAGCTGAAAGTGGAAGGCTGGCTGTTGGAAATGAGGCACACAGGAATGCCTGAAATTTGTCATATTTCTGACTGAGAAAGAGAACAGGTTCTCTTGAGGCTTGTTGAACAGATGAATGATGAATAAGAAACAGGAATATGCACGAATTCCTTAAGAGGATCTTGAAAAATCAGAACATCAAAGCAGGTATTAAAACATCAATAATTTAAAGTTAGCCTATATTTCATGGTGTTACTAGAACTTTACAGATAGAATGTACATCCTTAGACAATACCATCAATCTAATGTCAAATAAATTTATGGACAAATGTAAAAGAGTGTAAAATTCTGCAGTCTAATACCTGAATACTTTCTGTCTTATATTAAGATCCAGACTTTTTGGCAGCATTCAGTAGCAGTGAACTGAAGAAGCACCTTGATGAAATCTGTCAACAGACTGAAATTATGCAAGAACTTCTCAGTGTTGCTATTGGACATATGGAGGCATGAGAGACACTTCCAGCCTGCATATCATTAGCCAACATGGAGGCCATTAGCCTCTGAATGGGCGGCTGAGCTAAGATATTGGCATCTTAGGTTTAACGGATCAGCCTTGGGTAAATCCACAACAGCTACATACAGAAATTATGATGTCCGTTATTTGGGTAGAAATTAAAGGGACATTTCACCCATCATGAGGCACGTAAACAGACTCCATTGAAAATGTTTGGGTTTATGATTATATCAAAAATTTGCCATGGTTGTCTTATCTCAGATGGCTGATTCACATATACTGTAACTGTTCGTTGTTTTGATGCATTCATGGACCAGTCTTAAAGATAGTTCTACTATACAGATGCAAGACAGATGGAACAATCTAAACAATCAAACAATCTAGTTCTGTTATACAGATGATGCAATTTTGTACCATTCTTGCTGATTTGTAATCTGCAGATCTCTGCAGATTCGGATTATCCATCTTGCCTTGGAATTAACTTTGGCAATATTCTTATTTTAATAAACTGAGATTTGATTGTTTTAACAGCGTTGAAATGGGGGAAAAAAAATCTCCGCCAGCAAATAATTATGTGCATGTAGGTTTTCAAGAGAAATTTGTGAAGTTTTTATTAAAATGGGCATTTCTAGAAAAATGTGTATTTATGTAAAATGTTTGTGTTGTTGTGACTATTTTAAGATGCTACTTGCTGTATGTTTGTATATAGGCATGAATGAGTCTTCTCCTTCCTGGTCATTAACTGATACGACTTCAGGGAAGGGAGCTGGAGCATTCCCATCATATTAGAACATGTGGAACAGGCAGAAATAATTGGAGACAGGTGATTCCATCAATGACAGTTGTTGAATCCAAAGGTTTCTAAGTGCGTATTTGCGTATTTGTATTAAAGTAGAAAGTAAGTAGAAAGATCTTCTGGAGGACATGGGATTATCTACCAAAGAGGATATACGGTACCTAGTTGCCCAAATAAACCTATTCAGAACCTGTTCCTATACGTATGTGCATATGCTCAAGAGCTTTGTACATGTCTGAATTAAACTGATTATTGTATTCTATTGGGGAAAAAAACTTGAATAATTGTATAGAAGATTACTGCTTTCTTTGTACTACTAAAATCTGGAAGCCACGTCCAAAGTTTGCATCTAATCTAGTTTTGAGTTGTCTGCAAACTTAGTAAAAATGAAAGTGTGCACATAAGTGTGATCTCCAATAACCTTGTGCTTTTGTTTTCTGGCCTTTGCGTATTGAAGATTGATCTGCGGGACACACAATGGCAGCGAAATACATTTTTCACAAGAAACAAAACATACTTTCCTCCGGCTAGTTTACAGGTGGAAGTGTCCATATGTGTTTCACCTCTTATTAAATTGGATTTTTAAATTATTAAAATCTAGTTTATAGGAAGCAACATAAACTGTTATAAATAACTAATATTTTAGAGGAGAATAATGTCGCAGGATGCAGAAGAATCAGAAGAGCCTCCTAAAATGAAAATGGTCATCTGATCCATATGCAGCATTTCTTCTAGGAATAGGCCAGTGATGGTGAATCTTTTAGAGACCGAGTGCCCAAACTGCAACCCAAAACCCACTTATGCATCGTCGGGTGCCGGGTGGATGTGGCCCATTGGCTGGCTGTGACTAATTGGGTAGGTGTGGCCCATTGGATGGGCATGGCTACGGTGGTAACGGCAGACTGGGTGGGACTAAAAAATTCAATCAGTCAATTCCAACTTTGCAAGATCTTTTTTTCCCCGCGAGAAGTTGAAATTGACTGATTGATTGAACTTTTTTTTTTTTGCACACGGCGGAGGCCTAAAGCGAAAAGGTTTTATAAAACCCAGCTGAAGGCCTAGGACTGGGGCAACAGCGCACGTGCCCACAGAGAGGGCTCTGACTGCCGCCTCTGGCACCTGTGCCATAGGTTCGCCACCACTGGAATAGGCTGTGTTCATCAAGGATTGTTGAATCTGTTCCTCCCATTAGACTGCAGGAAGAACAACTTTTAGCTCCCTCATTAGAAAATGCCTGAACTTCCCAAATAACTGAGTATCATCTATTTCATGTAATCATCATTCTGCAACACTATGATATCAAACAGACCAGGTCTTAGCGCTTTAGAATCAAAGATGGAATATCCCAGATGTCAGGCAGCTTCTGAACCCAACACCATTTGGTCTTGCTGGGATTCAGCCAAAACTGTTCCTCCCTATCCAATTCTAATGGCCTCCAGACATCAGAACAGGACGTCAGTAACATTTCCTGTTCAGCCTATACGATATGGAGAACATTATGGGTACATTAACTGCATCTTCATATTCCAAGTCTGGAAAAAGCTCATTGAATTCAAAGAATAACATTAAGCCAGAAAGCTTTGTTTTATTTGCTGAACTATCTGCTAACTAGATAAATTAAGGAAAGCCAAACTTGCATTGTTACTTATAGCCACATTTTTTATTGTTTATTTTGTACTCAACAAAATTAATAAATACATTATCTAAGATACAATAGGCTTTTTTTTTTCATTTCACCTATGAAAAAATAATGCTTTCAATTTTTTTTTCACATTTTTAAAACCTGTCATGTTATTTTATTTGTAAAAGAAAATGTGAGAAGAGCGTAGTGATGGCTGAATATACAGAATGTCCATTTAGGAATTACATTTACAAGAACCTGATACAGAAGCCTATATTTTGCCCCCATAATTAATAGTTCTCTGCAATAATATTTAAACCAACAGGTTTAAACAAAAAACACACCCCTGTGGCCCCTCCCTGTAGAGCAGTGAGGTGTTTACTTTTCAAGTATTGAATCAGTAAAATGTAAGATTCTTTGCTGATTTTACAGTGTGCCTTTTAAAACTACCCATCTTCAAAACAAGACAAAACCAACAGGCTCATTATCTCAATCATCCTGTTATTGTTAATCTAGTTACCCTTTTCTTCAAGAATGCTGAAAATATCAATTATGCTACGTGAAGCAATTTTTGAAACAGAAGACACAATTCTTCCCTAGTAGTGAGTTCTATTGATAGAAAGGCAATCCAAATCTATTTCCAATATATTCTTCTGCTGGTTTTACTACCTGTTGTCTTAAAAAAAAAAAAAAAAAGAAAGCATTCAAGAAATCTTTAGAAAATTCAAGAGTGACAAAAATATAACACTCCTTCATAGCATGGAAGGAATCCCATTGGCTTCAGAGGCTTTTTTCCCCGCCTTCGATGATTCATTGAGAGATGTCAGACAACTTCTGCAAAGGAAAGCCAATGAAGAAAACATTAGCAACAGTTCCTGTCCAAAAGAACAAACAGTCCTGTCATGGATGATGATCATGATGATGGGAGATGACTTGGATCTTATTAGTTCCAATTCATTCATTCATTTCATTTATTAGACTTATATGCCGCCCTTCTCCCCACAGGACTCAGGGCGGCTCACAGCATATTAAAACAGTACAAAACATTATCCCCAATAAAAACCAATTAAAAACAAATATTTGCCGCTGTGTGATATTAAAATAATAATTAAAATTGTCCCTATTTAAAATTCTCCCTAGGCCAGACCCGCTTGCTGAAAAAGCCATGTCTTGAGGGCGCGGCGGAAAGCTAGGAGATCCGGAATCGTCCGGATCTCGGGGGGTAGTTCGTTCCAGAGGGTGGGGGCACCCACAGAGAAGGCCCTCCCCCTGGGGGTCGCCAGCCGACATTGNCGGCACCCTGAGGAGGCCCGCTCTGTGGGAGCGTACCGGTCTGTGGGAGGGAATCTGTGGCAGAAGGCGGTCTCGGAGATATCCAGGTCCGATGCCATGGAGCGCTTTAAAGGTGGTAACTAACACCTTAAAGCGTACCCGGAAGGCCACTGGTAACCAGTGCAGCTCGCGCAGCAGCGGTGTTACGTGGGAGCGACGACTGGAACTGCATGTAAAAAGGTCTCATGAGTGGAACAGGAGAAATAATATCTGCCAATTCCTGTTCCCTCTGAAGCTCTCCTATATGTTCTGAACACCTGCTGAAAGAGTTGAAACAGCAACTAAAACAGTGTAGGAGGTTGTGCTAGGCCTGCAGGGAGAAGGGGAAACTGGCAAAAAACATCACTCATTCTGTCCTTCTGCTGGTAATGCCACCATTGGATCAGAGTGGCTTCCTTTCGTGGGACAATAGCAATGCCACTTAGACTTATATACCACTTCACATTGCTTTACAGCCCTCTCTAAGCGGTTTAGAGTCAGCATATTGCCCCCAACAATCTGGATCCTCATTTTTCCATCGGAAGGATGGAAGGCTGAGTCAACCTTGAGTCAGACAAGATCGAACTTCTGAAGTGAGCAGTAAGTTAGCCTGCAGTACTGCATTCTAACTGCTGCACCACCACAATAATTCAAGATCCATGCACCAATTATTAAATGCAGAAATAGTTCCATTCTATGGTAACCCCACATAAACTGAACAAAGTTCCTGTTACCTAGAGTTCTGAACCTGAATAGAAAATTTTCACGAAATACCTAGCCCTTATAATGAAGAAAACTCTGCACATGTCAAAATCACTATTTTTATATATCTGTTACAGAAGCCTTGCTTTTTCCTACTTTTATTAAAAGTCTATTTATCCTTTAAGAAACTTGCTTTTGTATCAGAAATAAATTTTATAATTGAAACAATTTTTTAAATAAATAATTTTGTTTGAAATTCAGATCTGTGCCCTCTCCTACAAGCCAAGTACAATTCATAATCAAGTTTCTGTTTCTCTGTCCCATTCCAGATGCAGGTTGATCTAAGAACCAGGATTAATATGTTTACTGCAGATTTTACAACTCTTTATTCCTTGCTCTTAATATACTCAAATGAGGCATTTGCTAGATTCGTTCCAGGGTGTGCAGGTTAGAAGGATTACAGAAAACATTACCTGCTGTCTGAGGCGTTTGAACATTGTCTACCTGAGGCAATGACCCTCGTGCCCCATTCTCTTCAAAGGCCAAGATGGGAGTCAAAGGAATGTCAGAACTATCTTTCTCTTCAGGACTCATGGCATCTAATCTGGGAGGTTTTTTTCCCATGGGTAAACTGATGAGCTCTTCAAAGTTTTCATCCTGAGTAGATACTCCATTTTCATTTGGATGTTTTTGTGGGTTGAGATTACTGAAATACATTGACAGGTAACATAACTTACTGATAACAAACCAGATGTTTATAGGAAAATATATGACTATTTTAATCCAATGCTTTTTAAATTATATCTGTATTTATTGTAGACTTAGTTTCCTCTACCAGAAACATTTAGCTCAGGATGCAGGCAAATTTAAGTAATGTTTGGGAAACGCCATCTGTATTCAACTTCATCTTCCATTTTATTGATGGAGATAGCACTACCCATATGGATTAATACCAACAGAAGGTGTTCTTAATTCAATTGACACACCAACCAAACTTTGGCAGGTGGTAAGATTTTTCTTCACATATTAAACTTCAGTGAGTTCACATTCATAAATAACATAATAAAATTAAATAACTGGATCTTTATAGTTGTTCCTGATGGTTGTTAACTTTGAATAGCATGTTTGTATAATCAAACAAAACTGGTATTATTTAGTCAATGTACAAATTATTCTTGAATTGCTGTACTAAATGCCAAGAAAAACTGTATAATTCTGAATGCAAATATTGCAAAAATATTTTCAAAAATAATAAAAAAATGCAACAAATAGAAAACCTAAAGAGTAAGTTATACTGTAGGTTGAAGTTGGTGCCTTCTTCCACATCTTTAAGTCCTTTTCTGCAAAATTTCCTGATATGCTGCCTAATAAAATTGTGACAGAATTTTTATTTATTTATTTGATTTTTTAAATCCTACCTTTATTATTTTATAATAGTAAATCAAGATGGTGAACAAACATAATACCTCTTCCTCCTCCTATTTTTTTCTGCCAAGTGGGTTGGGTTGACATTTCCTCTTTTGTTTTATTTCATGATGCTATAAAGGTTGTTAAAACACTGAGGCGATACTAAGTCTCATGTGAAAAACAATATTTTCTGTATATTGAAAAGTAGATATCAAATCTATGCAACTATTCTGTCACCTGGGACATTTCCCCCCCCCAATAATACAGACGAATAAGGACTTTATTTCTTGTCAATTTTTAAATAATATGATCTTAGTTCCCAAATACCAATGCTTTCAAATGATTTATTTGCTTATTTGTGGGGCTTACTGAGAAACAATATGTATGATACAGTAAAACATTTTGACACTAAATGTTTCCCTGGATATTTTGTGAGAAATAATACATGACTGAAACAGTAAACATCTACAGATAAGGGAAATAATTAAATTTAATATAAGTTTATCTCAGGTAGAAGAAACTTCTAAAACGCACCCGTGAATTTTTGCTCCATACTAGGATCATGTTTGGGTAGGGATTAAGGACCAAGACTAGAAACCAGGAGATGGGTTTCTAATCTATCTAGATAGATCTAGTCCTGTCATTTTGGGCCAGTCACTTTCTATGGCAAACCACTTCTGAAAATCCTGGCCAAGAAAACTGCAGGGAATATTCCAGGAAGGTTCTGAGAACTGGACACAATTGAACAGAAGGAGGGGAAAAAAGATCACGTTTCTTACCTGTCTAAATTTACTCTGGACTGGTGAGAAATGAGCACAGGTGTATGAACTACTATTTCCCCATTGCGTGGAGTTTCTGCCATACACTGAACCTGAGAACCCATTACAGGGCTTAACGGAGGTGTAGGGCCGCTCACTGCTAGAAAGAAAACAAACTGGTCTGTAAAACTGTATTTATTTAATGTAACAGAAAGGAGAACATAAGATTCCATAGAGAAACACAGATTTTCAAAACTCTACTCCCCTCTATGTCCCCTCCCCTACATGGGGGGGGGGGGTGTTAAGCAATAAGTGGTCATCAGAAGTAGACCATTCTGAGAAGTGGTCTTTTGGAGAGTTGTTGCATGCTATCCTAAATACAGTGTTCAGTACTGTTGGGGAGAAATAGGAAGAGAGCCTGGGCAGATGTTGCTTGCCAGTAAAAATAATAGTGAACCAGCTAGATTAATTGTTTGATTAACTTCCTATGCCTATTTCTTAATAAAGAATGATCCTAAGGCAAGAGCAAAGAGAAATTAAAGAGATCTGGTCCAACCTGAATTCTGAAAAATTGATTCCCTTTTAGTATTAATGAAAAATGCAATACCCAACTAATAACAAGTTCATTTTATAATAGCCTTTTATAAAATACTTCCTTTTACAACTTGTTTGCTCAGAAATCATACCAGGTAAATAGTGAGCTGACGTTTCAATTGTTTAATAAAAAGGAACTAAGGATTTTATTTCAGTAGTCCAATTATAAACAATACTGTGTAATCTAGATCAGAAAATGATATATCACCAACTATTCTGTCTTAATGATTAAAAGCAACCCAACTAATGATCTAGGACTTGATTAATTTATCACTGAAAAATTAATCACAGCTCTAATATGTTCCATTTGGTATATAATTATACTCACAATGGAATAATATGCCATTACAAGGATTTAAATGTCAAATCACTGACTTTTCATTGAATACAACCAGGTTATTAATGTTTAAATGATTTATTACTTAATTCTTTCTTATCCATGCTCTGAGTAAGTTTCAGTGTTAAACTAAATGCACATCAAAAGTCATACCTATTTCTTTCACTATCACTCCATTCTGTTGGTCATCTGATTTCTATAAAATAAATAAGATTTTATGTAAACATCTATTCTAGAAGAACAAAATTATAGAAATATATTTCCGAAAGTTCCATACATGCCTTCTCTGCAGGTTCTGATCGCCTAGTTCTTTTCATAATTTCCTCAAGACGCTACATAATGAAGAAAAAGAATACTTATAATGAACATCTTCCAGATTTATCTATAGCAGTGATGGCGAACCTTTTAGAGACCGAGTGCCCCAAAACCGCCCCACCCCCTGACCTGCCCCCGCTCTACCCCACCCCTACCCGCCCACAGGGCCACCCACCGCCCCCAAGGCCCACCGGAGATCACCTAGGCGGCCCTGCAGCGTCATGGCCACACCCTTCGCCCGCGCCCCGCAGCATCATCTGCACATAATGGGGTGCGAGGGCGGAGTCTTGTCCCTGCTGCCCGGCTGCCATGATCTTGGCTGCGCTGCTCCGCCCGGGCCATGCCCAGGGGCAACTCTCCTCCAGGGTGGCTGCTGGTGAGGGGGCCACAGGGGGAGGCGGGGCTGGGGTGACGGCGCGCGTGCCCACAGAGAGCGCTCTGAGTGCCACCTCTGGCACGCGTGCCATAGGTTCACCACCACTGATCTATAGTTTATAATATTTATTAATTTATTTTACAATTTATGGGCCACCCCAATGGAAAAAAAAACCTCTGGGTAGGTTATAATATGGTAAGGATATGAAAAATCCCCCAAGATGGATGCTGATAACTGTTGGTTAATTAAACCTGGAAAAATCAAACTTTCAATTATTTTCTAGATGACTTGAGGGAGGAAGCTTTATAAACCTTTGGTGCTAAAGAGTTCCAAAGTATGGGAGCTGCTACAAAGAAGAACTATCATCTTCTCCATGTTCCCTTAACTTCAGATAAAGAGGTAAGTCTTAACAGGCCTTTCTAAGATGTTTTCACTAGAGAGCAGATTTAGATATATTAACCATGAACACACTATGTTCAATACCAAATTTGTCTCCAATATACGCTGCAGTTACTTCACCACTGTCACTGCTTCCTCCACCAACTGTTGGAAAAGGTGGTGGCCTGCAACAATTTTTTACAAAATGAGCTACTCATCCTCCTTGGAATCAGCTGGAGGAGGAAGTAGCAACAATAGCAGCATAGGTAGTCAGTGAGCAAATGAACAAACATCCTCTTCAAAAGCTTCCTGCAACTCCTGCCTTTTTCAGAAATCAGATCGACTTACGCCTGAAGGCAGGACGAGAAGCAACGGGTGGAAACTAATCAAGGAGAGAAGCAACCTAGAACTAAGGAGAAACTTCCTGACAGTTAGAACAATTAACCAGTGGAACAACCTGCCTCCAGAAGTGGTGAATGCTCCAACACTGGAAGTTTTTAAGAAGAGACTGGACAGCCGTTTGTCTGAAATGGTGTAGGGTTCCTGCCTGGGCAGGGGGTTGGACTCGATGACCTCCAAGGTCCCTTCCAACTTTATTATTATTATTATTATTATTATTATTATTATTATTATTATTATTATTATTATTATTATTATTATTATTATTATTATTATTATTACTTTTTATTCCCAAACATGTGAGACTGGAGCCAAAAGAAAGAAGAGGCAATGGACGTTTGCCTGTGACCAGTGGTGGGATTCAAATATGTGAACAACCGGTTCTGTGTGTTGATGCCGCTTCCGGAAGTCCATTTTGGGCCTGGGCAACAAAAAATTAGCTACCGGTTCTGCCGAAGTGGTGCGAACTGGCTGAATTCCACCACCACCTATGATATATATATATATACCAATCTACTCTATATCAATATGTATATTATTAAAGAGATAACTCAAAGCTTAGCCATCACATCATGAACCCCTTTGGGGAAGGTTCTCTATAAGCTTGTGATCATACACGAAGGCAAGAGGCTATCTGATTCATGTAGATTACTGTAGGTTCTTCCCATGATTTGGAAGCTTGGCTGCAATAGGCTCTAAATCAGAAAAGCCTCCCCTTCATAGATGCTTCTGTTGAGCAGGCATGTGCAAAAATCCAAAAGTGGCATTATAAACAGCAAATGTAATTGTGATTTCAATTGCATGGATGAGAATGCTTCCAAAGGGTTTGTGAATCTCTTTTAGTCCTAAAGTTAAGTCCACAGAAGTGGGTGGGTCACTTGCCAAGTGAAAATGCACATGCGGTTGTCTGCAAGAACTGATTTCTGTTACCTTCTTTCTTTCTAAGCGTTCTTGTTCTTCTTTTTGGAAATGCTTTTCACGCTCCAGTCGGATCTGGTCTTCTCGTAGCCGAGTTTCCTTTTCCTTCTAAATTATGGCACCAAAAAAGAAAATATGGGCATTGATGATAATATGGTAATCAATATATATTTATTTAGCTACTTTCACTTTTGCTTTCAATTGCTGTTATCCTAGAACAGACATGTCAAACACAAGGCCCGGGGGCCGGATGCGGCCCGTGAAGTGGTTTCATGTGGCCCACGAAGCCATCCTGGAAACAGTGAGGGAACGGCCCCCTCTGCCTTGGCCCTGGCCCAGGCCAGCTGGGAGCCAATGTACAATTGCTAAATGCTAAAATGCATTCAGTCTTAGCTCCACAAGGCTGTCTGGAAACAGCGAGGAACCAGGAGAACCTTGAGCAGCAGCCTTGAGGAAGTGGGGCTGGGCTTGGTGCTGCGGGTGCTCAAGGGCCAGGCTGGGCATTTGATCTCTACTGCCCAGAGCTCTGGGCAGCCCGCACCACCAACCCCCCCCGCATGGCCTGAGAGGAACAGTGAGGCTCCTCCAGTGGACCATGCCTTGGCACTTGCCCTGGTCCCACCCCCTTCTGCCAGAGACCCTCAGATCTGTCCCGCTCCTGCCCAGGCCCCCACAGGCACCCTTGAGGCGAACAATGTAGAGCTGGCCACGCACACCCAGTAGGCCACACCTACTCCATCCACACCCACCCAGTAGGCTGCACCCACCCTGGCCACACCCACCCGGCCCCCTGAGGGCAACCGCAATGCTGATGCGGCCCTCAATGAAATTGAGTTTGACACCCCTGTCCTAGAAGGACAGGCTAAGAGGCTGCAAAGACCCAACATAGTCGCAAAAGATATCTTTTGTATCCAAAGAGCAGCTTCTTTTATAATTGCAAATGAATCGACAATTTAATTACTTCTCTGTAGTGCAAACACATTTTGAAAAGGTGATGGGATTCTAAATTAAAAACTGTGTAACTTATGTACCTTCACTCCATAAAATTAGAATACCAGTATTTCTTGATTACTCCACTAATCATTAGCTTTTCTGATTGCACATAATCTGTTACTGTTCATGATTTTACGTAAGGTAAAAATTAAGTGCTCCCTTTTCTATTTTGCATGATATATTAGGAAAGTATGCATCATATGTTTAAGGCCCAAATCACAAATATTAATGGCATTTTTGTATCTAACCTGCAGGATGCATTCCAATGCAAAGTATAACAGCAGCTGGCAAGGTTCATAATTAACAAGATCAGAAGAAGCATGGAGAGGAAAATTAATGCTTTGCAATCCTAATAAAAATCTTCTAAAAAAAAAAACCTTCCGGGGAGGGAAGGGAATTTCATGAATGTCATTTGCATTGAAAAACAGCACGCAAATCCGATCAAAAAGTGCATTCAACTTCAGAAAGAACAGGTCCTAAATATATGGACAGAAGGAAGGTAATACTGTATAACTTTTTATAACTACCAGGAGTCTTTCCAGAGAAAATATACCAATATACAAAACCCACAGTCATACATATTTTGTATACAAAGACGTATCGATTGTAAAGGCAAAAATGTCCTCTGGAGTATCAGTGGAGGAGTGGCTTGCATA